ATAAGAAACACTTGAGTTGAGGAAATGAGAATGTCCAAAAGACACAAAGTCACAACAGAGGCACTGAAAAAAGAAACACTTGGGTTGAGGAAATGAGAATATCCTAAAGACACAAAGTCACAACATAGGCACTGAAATAAGAAACACTTGAGTTGAGGAAATGAGAATGTCCAAAAGACACAAAGTCACAACAGAGGCACTGAAAAAAGAAACACTTGGGTTGAGGAAATGAGAATATCCTAAAGACACAAAGTCACAACATAGGCACTGAAATAAGAAACACTTGAGTTGAGGAAATGAGAATGTCCAAAAGACACAACATAGGCACTGAAATAAGAAACACTTGGGTTGAGGAAATGAGAATATCCTAAAGACACAAAGTCACAACATAGGCACTGAAATAAGAAACACTTGAGTTGAGGAAATGAGAATGTCCAAAAGACACAACATAGGCACTGAAATAAGAAACACTTGGGCTGAGGAAATGAGAATGTCCAAAGGACACAACATAGGCACTGAAATAAGAAACACTTGGGTTGAGGAAATGAGAATGTCCAAAAGACACACTTTGACAAACGATGAGAGAGGTCAGAGGTGCCAGATTCTACACACAATTTAAACAAACAAAAAACAATGGACAGAACAGAATGAAATGGGGGAATATAATGCGGGCAAACCAAACAAAACTCTGTTAATCATGGGAGAAACTGGTGCCAGTCAGAATACTTGTTAACAGTGTAAAAGTCTTTTATTTGGAGCCTTCATGCAAATAAAATATGGAAAAACTTAAAAAAGGAAGATAATTATTAGTACAGGAATGAATATGGGGAAGTCATGGAAATAATAAAGAACAGGAGGCCTTAAGAGAAAACTGGTTGAGAGTATTTGTTCCATTGGAAGACAAGAAGCTACATGGGTAAGCACCAAGTGAAGGTATAATGTCTAGAAATCAGCAGCTTTCAAGTTAAAACCAAACCAAGTGACAGAAAGTTTTATACATCCACTGCCACAATCCCTTGATTTATCAAATAATCCTGAAGTTATCTTTCCCTGACAGTCCATGCCACGTGGGACTAGTCATCATGTCTCTCTCCACAACCTTCTGTCTGTGAAAATCCAATCATTTCTGATATATATGTCAATCTGTGCTATAATGACCAATTGTTGAATATCTTTCTTTTTTAGTCCTTTCTCTAAACTTCCTTAACAAGACAAGAAGTTACAAGGGTACCAACTGAGGGCATAATATCTAGAAATCAGCAGTCTGTTTGAGTTGAAAAACAAACCAAGTGACAGAAAGTTTTAGACATCCCTTGATTTATAAAATAATCCTGAAGTTATCTTCCTCTGACAGTCCATGCCATGTGTGGCTAGTCATTATGTCTCTGTCCATAGCCTTCTGTCTCGTGAAAATCCAATCATTTCTGATACATATGTTCACCCATGCTATAATGACGAATTGTCCAATATCTTTCTCTCTTGGACTTACCCTCCAACCTGCCTTGTGTCATGACATACTTCAATTGTTTCCTTCTCATGGCACTGCCAAAGAATACAGTCTGCTCCTTATCTGATGCAGGTAACAGTTCTCTTTGTGGTTTGACTATAAATTCAAAGCACCATTTCTTCATCTGATGGGGGTCTTTTCATCACATTTCTATAAAACCAAACTCACTGCAGCTTTTTCAGTTCAAATCTGCTGATTGTCCATGATTTCTTTTCAAATATTGCCAGAAATTATGTCCTGTTACCAGACCATGCATGACACCTGTGCCAATCTCACCTGCATTTAGGGTGAATTGAAGTTTAAATCTGCAATAACTGTGTTTTCCATATGCAACATTCATAAATGTATACAGGATTAACTTTAGGACCTTAGATCAATCATGTTCTACAAGACACTAGATCCCAAACATGAACTGGCATTAGCAATCAAAATACTATTATTTAATCAAATCTGTAGTAAAAAAATAAACAGAGCATGTCAACTGAATATCACACATACACTTTCACATACTGTTCATTTATATCAAATATTAGATGTTTATTGAGTAAAACTTTATCCATGCGTGAAACATGAGCATCTATATTACATATATAAATAATTTATGTTAATAGCTAATTAATCAACATTATAAATGAAAAATCACATTTCCTGACTGATAAGGGAAAGACAGTAATTTGTCATTTTTACTCTTGTGGTTTTTTCTCTATTTTTTCGCGAATTCATTTTCCCCAGTGATTAAAAAATGTAAAAGTGTGTTATCGAGTTCAATAATTCTCAATGTCTGTCAAAGTTTTCTTTCTATTATGTTTTTCTATCACACTTTCTTTTCTTCACTAACCCAAAATCCATTAGCAATAAATATGTTTCTCATCAAAGCACCAAAATGTGTCATATAGTTCAATATATCAACAGTTTAATGTGTTCAGTTCAATAAAAGCTCATCTAAAACTTCTACTGCGCGGTTTTGTAAGGCTCTTTCTTCATCTTTCTTTGCAGTCATTTTCCAACAAGTCACCAATATCCTCAATACACCAATCTGTTACCTCAAGTTCTACACTATCTTCATGATCTTTACAGATTTTCATATTTGATTACATTTTCTATGATTACATCTCTGATTTTAGCAGACCACATCATGTTATTTTACTTAAAGTTCTTATGTTCAAAACTGTACAAATCTGTAGTTGTCGTTTTCCTTTTTTTTTTTTTAAAGTCAAGAACATGTTTTACAAGGTTGTATAAATGCTGTAAAAGTCAATGTTTTTAAAAAGATTTTAATGACTTTCACATGGCGCTTATAGACACATTTTAATTCAATAATTTCATCATGATCCCATACCTCAGTACTTCTATATTACTGAATAGCATATTTTATATTAAATACAGTTTGTTGAGTAGTTTTCGAATTAACTAAACATATTAAACACTGGATAAAGGCACATTTTCCAAACATGTGATTTTCTTCTTCTTCTTCAGCCCATGAGGTTCACCGCTACAGATATTATCACCCACCTCCATTCATCTCTATGACTGGTCTTCTCTTTCCAGTTGGTGACTCCAAGCATCTGTACTTCTGCCGGGATACTATCTCTCCACATTCTTGGTCTTTCTTGTGGTCTATGTCCATCTGCCGGGATACTATCTCTCCACATTCTTGGTCTTTCTTGTGGTCTATGTCCATTTAACTCTCTTGCGTGCATAGTTTCTTAATTTTTCGGCACCTGCCATTCTATCTGGGTGCCCCAGCCATTTCAGTTTATTAGCTCTAATTATGCAACTGATATACAGACAAATGGATGTATTTTATATATTTTAAAATAAGACGTGGTGGGGAAACTGTTCAAAAAATGGTAACTATTGTATTTACTTATTTTTGCTCTTAATACTGGCTCTACCAAATCAGGAAATGTGAAACATAAACATTTTGCCATTACCATACAGAATTACTATTCAATTCAGAATTATTTTTTTTACAAGAAGTTAATAAATGGATTTGTCTAAAACAAAAAACAAAAAGAACAAAACAAAAAAAGTTTTCAAACTTAAAAATGCAGTGAGTATGTATGTATGGTAAAATGGCAACACCACAAGAAAACCAGTAACTTGCATTATGTACCATTCAGATAAACAGTTACCTAACAAACACAAACTAAGAGGCCTAAAGAAATTGTATGTCTTCTATTACTGCTCATTTTCCTTAACATAGGAAACAATTCAAGCAGAAGTTTTATTATTTTAAAATATATATATATATATATATATATATATATATATATATATATATATATATATATATATATATATATATATATATATATATATATATATATATATATATATATATATATATATATAACTAAATGCAACTGTAAAGTATCACCACAAAATAAGCTAAAAGATGCTACAGGACAGTGGAAATGACTGAATGCAGTCAGCAACTCAAAGCATGACTGTAAGGGTAAGTTCCAACATAAGAAAGAATTCACCTAGTTAAATAAACTGCTAAAGCACAGCTGAACTAAAGACACAGTCAAAGAAAAAAAAAAGGTAAAGTCAGGAGATGTGAACCAGCGTCATTGGACACTGTTATAAACCATAAGTGCTCTGCCACCAGTACGGACAGCTGATAAGAAACTGTCCGCCCGTGTTGCCGTCTGTGTTATATGGTGCATGGACAAAAGATAGGATACAAACTCAGTTCAGAGAGATGTCACGCTGAAGTTGGATGTGCTAACCAAATTCCTATAGAAATTTTTTTTTAACCATTCTGAATAACATTTGTTATTTAAGAAAATATGAATAATTTCTTGAAATAATTTGTGCGGTTTGAGAAAAGTAAATTTTGAAACGATTTGGGGGGGGGGGGGGGGGGGGGGGGGGTGATTTTAAGGAACATCAGTATAAACAAACTACAATACTTAGAAGGAGTCTGTCAGCAACTATCACAAACAGCACTGGAAACTGAGAAATGTAGATAAACGTCATCCACTTCATTGGGTGAATATTTAAACAGCAATAGAGGAAATCAAATAAATAAACTATTCTTTACATTTTTGTTATATCTTCATATACAAAATGTTGAATAGCAGTTCATGACCTCAAAAAAAGTTTACACTTTGCAATTAATATAATTTCTTCTGAGTGAAATTTTTTGTTAAACATTACTTCTGCAACTCCTGATAACACATTAGTCTGCCTAGCTCCTTATTTTAATGGTAAAGAATGCAATTTTAAACGTGTATTTCAACGTTAAAATGCCCATTAATTGTTAAAGACATACAGGAATATCAGCGAAAACAACAACATAGGGAAAGATAAGAGAGAACATGTTTGTTCTAAATCAACCTAAAATTCTGACTATTCCATTCAACTAAATACGCCTACTTCTGATGTTCTGAGTATACACACTAATCTATAATGTAATACTGAAGTACATAATGCAAGTTGAACGTTTCTTGTGGTGACAACATAGATAGCTGTTTAAAAAACTTACCTCTGCTAGGGCTTTGTCGAAAAGTTCTTTATCACGCTTACCCGTAAATGGGTACATAGCGTGAGCCTCGCGCATGTTGCGCTGAAAATGAACAACATGATCATGACGTAAACACACGATTATATCTGCAGGATAGAAGATATACACAGTCTATCAATAGTAAACTTCTCTGTACTGCACAAAGGCTACCACTTGGCAACAGCACCAAGTAAACACAACTAGTGCCAAACGTGTGCATTAATAGACAACAACAACAAAAGAACCTAAACAAAAGAAATGAAATGTTTACGGCGAATTCTAAATTTAACTAGAAGAGACAGGATATCAGAAATAATTATACCAGGAAAGCAGTTGTGACGAAACCAGTTTTAAACTACATCAAGACACAACAGATAAAATGGTTTGGACATGTGTCAAGACTACCACCAGACACTGTACCACAGACAGCCCTGTCACCCTGGAGCACTAAAAAAATATGTCATAAATCTGTTAGAATTTTTTTTTAGCACAGGTTACTAATACATTTTTTTAAATGTATTTATATAAATTCTCTTTTCTTTTAAAAAAAATTTAGGCATAAAAGAAGTAATTAATAAGCACTAACAGGGTGAAGAAATAAAGGGAACACATCTCCACGAGGCCTTAAAAATGTACGTATCTGGTGTTCTCTTATCACCACCGAGGCTTAGCAGAAAATTTGACACCTGTTTCTTTTTTTAAAGCCATTTAGCATAAAGGAGAACAACTGTAAATGCTATTGTTAGTTAATGCATTCATATCCTGACCTCCTAAACATTTGCGCAGGTGTCAACTCATCCAACATCATGAATTATGCATCTTGAAAAAGGCCACTACAGGCAAGTCAGAAAAAAATGACATTTACAGGGAAACTGGACCCAACAGGAAATGTCTTCTTTTTTTTTTCTTTTTGCTTCTTGCGTTGAAATGTTTTTTGGAGCCAAGTGACAACTGGTGGCAATGCTTATTGAACTTGAGTTGGAAATGCTAATTTAACTTGAGAACAGAAAGAGGACTCCAAGAGCCCCTGTAAAAATAACAATGATCAATACTTGTGAATATGTTTACTGTGGTATTTCAACTGACTCAGTGATTCCTCAAATGATAAACATTTTATCTGTGTATTGTGTACAAAATAGTGGACTACGGAATCATGCCTTTTCATTAAATGTTTGTTGTCAACTAGACATAACAGTAAGACCAGTGGTCTGCTATTTGATCTATGCTTGGTTAATATAAATGTATGTAACCTGTGGTGCTATTGCTAGATACAAATTCTCCATACTGTCGGTTCAGCTGTGTAATAGATCTGGCTAATGAAGAAAGAAATTTCTCTTTTTTTTTCTTTAACTGTACATCTTCTCCACAACAAAGGTTGGCTACAGTGCTCTGCACTCTTGTCTTTCAGAATATTACACGGTGAGGCCCAAACTCTGGCATGGTATAGACTCCTGTACTACTTCTGTCCAAAAACCACAAAAAGAGTTTTTCCTCTAGAGGTGTAAAATTGATCCTGGATCAAAGATTACATGTTCATGGACTGGGGCACAGTTGAGGACTCTGGCGCTGTCTTCACCTGGAAGTGGCAGGTTCAAATCCTGGTATGGTAACTAAACCTTTCAATGTGTTATGTTGTCCAGTGCACTATCTCTAATTCTTTTCTCAGCTTCCGTGACTGCTAATCAATGCTTGTAAATGTATTTATTAATAAATATTTATAGGTGGGAGCAATAATATAAGATACAGGATGTGTGACAGAGACTGTGAGCAGACCAGGCAAAGCTGCATTTCAGAAGATCACAAGTAGCCGACATAAAATCACTTCCACTGAACAACAAGCTAAATGAAAGTTAACAGATGGGCCGCATGCAGCCCTTTGCAAATACATTTGTGGCCTGCAATCAATCAATCCTCATTGTGCATAAAGGCACATAAGGCAAAGCGTACTGTCGCCATTGAAATTTGATCCTAAGCCATCCTCTCTATCTCCTGTTTTGTCCTTCGCAAAGCCTTGGGTTTCCTCAAAAGTTGACCTCCAAGTGCCTCTGTGCCTGCCTCTTCTTTGTTGACTTTGTGGTGTCCATTGCATTGCCCGTCTCTCTTTCTTTATTCTGAGGACGTGTCCAATCCACCTCCATTTTCTATTTTTGATTTCTAAATTTACATCTTCTAAGTCTGTCATTTACTGCAGCTTGCATAAAGGAAATATTCTGCAATAAATAACTGAAAACCACTGAAAGGGACAATAAAAAGAAGAACCACCCACAACTGCAACGTTCCAATTCTACTTACCAAGAATGTTAAATGCTGATCTGTTCCTTTTCTATAATACATTTCTAGTTCTTCCTGCTGGGCACGAGTGAGAGCTGTGAGTAAGAAACAAATACATGGCTACTTAGCATTTAATAGAAACAAAAATGTAATACAATTACGCCATCACACAGAGGAGACACTAACCCAAGCTACACAGCTATCAAATGACAGAAAACTGCATCCGACTTATCTCTGTGACACTTTACTGCATAAGCAGTAGGGCAAATGAAGACAGGGGAGTCTTCAGCATGCAATACATTATGTAGTCTAGCTATTCAGGGTGAAAGCAGGAACAATATATTAAAAACAATGGCAATAAAAAATGGGAAAGACAAGAGGATTGTATCTTCAACAAAAAATGTAGAACAAACTACCGAGAGGCTGAAAAGAATAAAAAGACTGGTATTTATCACAGAATCAGGGGCCTAAGTTTCTCCCACAAAGAGGGGGGGGGGGGGGGAGAAAGGAGGGGGAGAGAGAGAGGGAGGAGAGAGGATGAGAGAGAGAGAGAGAGAAAAACAGGAATTAGTGTTCTTGTGTCATAAGTTTTAAAAAATGAACATTTAAAAAAAAAAAAGTAATTTAGTACCCCATGTTTGGTGGGAAGAGAATATACACACTGCTCCTAAACAGGTATGCCATAAAAGACAACTAATTAAGGATCTGCTGAAAGTTTTAGACCAAAATGCAGACATCACTGCCTCCATGGAAACCCCAACACGATGTGCCAACCTCCCTTTTAGAGGTTCAAAAGAAGACAATTTAGGCATCATTTTTCTCTTTGTCAAATACACCAAAACAAAGTCATATGAAGAAACTCCAAACTCAGAAAATGCATTCCGCTTGGCTCGTGTGAGGTAGATGGTGTTGCATTATGTCACCAGTGAGTCTAGTTTGTGAAAAGTGCAATGTGTAATTCACACATGCTTCCTGGTTGTCAGAATTTATCCGAGATGACTGCAGTTAACAAGGCAAGAGTACCACACTCATTAAAATACGACTTTCACAGGCATACTTTCTTCTGTTAACCTTGCTTATTTTGCTTTTTTTTTTTTTTTTTGTAGTAGATGCCACTTACAGTAAGGCTGGAGGAACTTTTTCTCTGCCAAGGCCCTTTTATTTATATGGGCCATAAAAAAAAATGTCGGCTTAAAAAGTAGCCTGCTATACTTGGTCAGGACAGCCTACAGACCAGACACTCCATACCTCTGGTCTACTGTCGGTACTGACTACACATAAAAGAAAACATTATTTTCTGTTTTGCTAACAGAATGCTATTTTACACAATATCAGATATGATATTTGAAATTTTTTATTGAAAATTATAGCTGTACCTCAAAAGTCCACAATGAAGTTTATGAGAAGTGAAGTAAGCCTACAGCATTTTTTTTCTTTTCTTAATTTACTAAAATTTGCAACATATTTCAAAACAATCACGCTGTCAAAGAACAAAAAAACTCCAGTATATATTTCTCAAGTCTTTATTACCATTTGATTGTTACACACATTGAGAGATGACATATAACTGAAATGTTTCACAAAACCTCACCTACTGGTGACAAATTCTTCTGAGTCGCACCAGTCCAATAAAAACAGCAGACATAAAAACAGGTGATTATTTGTATTGTTAACATCAAAATTAAGTGAAGCAAGCTTTCTGTTCAGTTCTTTTTTTACTACTGTACAATAATCATGACGACCTAGCAGTTAGTAAAAAAGACAAGGGCCCTTATTACGCCAGCGGCTCATCAATGTTGGGCTCATTTTTCTTACAGATCAGCTGGCACTCACTGAGTTATGTGATCATCATAACAGCCACTTTGACTTCGCACGACAATACCTTATACCCATTCAACGCTCGACTGATCTGAGAACCAAGGCCAGTTGTGAAGAAAGTAAAACAAAATCACTCAATGTGGATTCAAACCTCAAGGCATACATCTAGCCCCTGCACTGACATGGCTCTCTGACCATCTAGCATTGCTTTAACACTGTAATTTCATACTGGGGTGCTTAGCCAACATTTTCCTAACAAAATGGCACATGATCACTAATCTGATCAGCGCCAAGCTGGTCGTCTTTGCCTTCTAGGGGTATGTTTTTAAATGAGCCACTCATTTCATAGTGAACATTAATGCCTGAATGACTTCTAACCCCAAACAACATATGGTTAAGTGCTCTCACCATTACAACACCAAACATGGTTCCTCCCTTTTCTAACAGGGTAAGATATATGTGGTCATTGTCAGCTGGCAGATAAATTATCCTATGTATGAAATCTCTGTGGGTTCCTGGGCATTGTGGATAACAATTCAATCAGACCCACCGTCCCTGACAAGCATGTCATAGGAAGAGAGGAATTAGGGGTCTCAGAGGCAAGAAACCAACAGTCTGTAAACAAGTCAGATCTGTAAAACGGATGTGCATGCAAAACTCAAGTTTTGGATCAAGGCTAAAGTCCAGAAGTGGAAGATCCCCCTGTGGGCTCCGGGGCCGTATTATAGAAACCATCTAGGATTGTTTTCACAATACAGAAAGTATGAAGTTTCAGTTGAAGTTAGCCTTGTAAGGCACCTTTGAGCATGCTAAAAGGGGGATGGCATGAGATGTGAAACTTGTTTTACATATGAACCATGACATATTTAAAGAATATACTTTTAGCTTATTGTGCAACATTGTTTTGCATACTTTTGTTACACACATGTAGGTTCTGTCGTATATGCGCATAAAGAAGGTGAGGGGGAGGTATAGGTTTTGTTAATAAAGGACTACATTCCTCTATGGTACGAGGTGTTTGGTGTGTGGTGTTAGCTGTATGTTTCTATAGACAGGTGGACACTAAATGGGTAATGTGTTCAGTATACGTATGTTGCCATTATTTATATTCGTTATGCATTTCCTGTGCCCATTTAAGCCTGCACTGACTTAACTGAAAGGCCAGATTAGTTTTCGTAAGCCATCAAATATCCACTCGGATCAAACTCATGATCATCTGGCTAGTATGCATAAAGAGCTTTGTTTTTTCTCTTCCCTTTCCAGTTGTCAATGTAACACATTTTTACATTGTGCTAAAATATGAAATACCCCATTTGTTTTAGCAGGTTTAGTAAAATTTATTGGTATGTTGCATACTGCTGCTGCTACTTAGTGTTCACCAGCTGTAAACTCTGGTGGAAAGTTCTGGTTGTTTATCCACTTCTGGACTGCAGTCCTGTTCCAGAGCCTGGGTGTTGCGTGTGCATTCGTTTTACAGATCTGACTCATTTGTATGCAGACTGCTGGTTCCTTGTCTCTCAGGCAGATGCACTCCGACTTCGAAAGAAGCTCCCATTTAGTCGACTCTTACGACATGCTTTTTGGGTAGGCAGTGGGTTTATTGTTGTTTTCACCATAATAGGGCCCCAGAATCTACACGCCAAATATTACAATTTAATAGAGCATAAGGTATTAATTAAAGCGCATTATTTTAACCCAATCACCCCGGTGACCTAGGAAAAAACAGCCAAGCTCCTCAAAAACAAAAATCCTTTAAAAACCAACTATTTTACGTGTGTGTGTCACTCTCTCTCTCTCTCTCTCTCTGACACATGAACGCACACACACTTTTCCACTCTCTCTTACCCACCCACACCCCCTAAATCAATTTACCAATCAAAACATGAACAAATATCATAAACAGTATGGGTAGTAATGAATAAATAAAACTGAACACAGCATAGAATCAACTGGTTTACATCTCTTGGGGTCTGTATACTAATTATAGTGCGACACTTACTTGACCTAGTAACTAGTGCAGCCAATGGGAGAAATATGATGTAGTCAGTTCAAGTAAAGCCATGTTTTTACCCCCCCCCCCCCCCCCCACCCTATTTATTTTAAGTAAATTCAGCCAACTCGTCATGCCAAATGATTGTGCAGATGCAGATGCGATGAATTATATTAGCTAAACATCTTCTCGTCTACGGCGAGCTGGAAAAGTGGCTCTAATGGGGCAATGGTACCAAACAGCAGACGCTTTGGTTTTGGGTCTTCTCGGGGCAAAAGGTTTAAAGAAACTCCAAATATGCATGGTGAGTTGCTTTGTACTGAATGAGCTAAAAGTGGTGTGTTGTTTACAGTCCAATTCATCTGATTCGGCAAATCCTAAATTTATTTGTATTTTATGACATGGCTTGTTAAATAGCAGTGAGTATACCCCCCAGCTGAACCCACTTAGGGAAGTAACAACATTTTAACACTGAAGTGTTCCTTCCTTCCCTTTTTTTTATTACGGTTAGTCATACGCCGTCATTCAATACTGCCATGTGGCTTCTGTGTTTACAATATGAAAGTGCTCAATAAAAAATAATACAAGAGTCAAAAAACCAACACAGTGCACAGAAATTCGCTAAGGTGTGCAATTGTGGATATATCCACTTTTATAAAACTTCATATCATTAATAAAAACAAAATTCATGAGAATTACCACAATCTTATAAAGATACAAAGCACATTTAGTCCTAGATGGCACAATTATATAAGACATATTTACATACAAATAATTCATTCGTGAATTGCATTCCCTGTGGCTTAAATATGATCAAGAGGATGAGAGAGATGTTAGTGAGACTTCAATTATTCTACATTTTGCGAGCAGTTTTATAGTAAATTTGGTGGCACTGAGGCCAACACCTTCACCTTCTGATCTGGTGGTTGGTCAGGTTTGAATACCCAAATGAGGTAATAAAAGAAGTAAGTAAACGGATATGTTCACCTCTTTAACGCACTGCGAATAGTAAGGACCATTTTCCACGCCCTGAGGCATATTGGGCATATAGGGCTACACCTATATTTTTAAAGACCAATCAGCACTGCACATGTGATACAGTCAATAGCCTTTATTTCTCAGGATATTGCTTGGTACCCGTTTCAGGCTGGGTTGACCTGGGAGCCAAGGTCAGTTTGGAAAAATCCATCTTGATGATCATTTAAGACTAAAATAGATACTAGTAAATGTTCAAGGAAATAAAATTTGGCTACATGATATTCACCAATGGCGATAGGATATTCACTA